GGATTTAATCATTAATCCGGATTTAGCCATCAAATCCGGATTTAATCATTAAATCCGGATGCAGGTATTAACTCTAGACCACCTAATACATCTTCTGGACCGTCGCCACCTCCACTAGCCTTTACATGATTGTTTATGTATTCTCTGAATTTTTCGTACGAATTGGTAAAATCGAAATACTGAATACGGTCCTTGCCATCACAAAAATCACGATATCCACAGAAACCGACGGAAATGGTAATACTCGGGTTAATACGCTTCATGTGAGTAGTCACTTTTAAAATACAATCTTTTGCAGTTTTAATGTAACTGCTCATAGAACCAGTACAATCTAGAACAAAGCAAAGATCTACATTCATCGTTAATTTGATTTTACTAAGCGTAGAAGTTATAATCTTTTCACGTTTTTCACGTAAAGCAGCAATCCTGGTCTCTGAACTTTTTAAATCATCCTCATATCGTTTAAGACGTTCATCTTCAAGTTTCATACTGTTTAATTTTTGTAAAAGTGATGAGGTTACAGAACCCTCAGGACGAGACCTAGAATTGTTATATTTGCTCTCATCGATCAAGGTGTCATCATCGTGCCATTTTGATTCGTCATTCTTATTTTTTTTAAATATCGAAGTTTTTTTTCCAAACATGATAAAACTTATTCAAAATGAAAAAAGAACCCATTCATTTTATTAACATTTTGTTACCATATTTTTACTATATTGTTACGTACTACCATACTACGTACCATTACTTTGTTTAGATTTAATATAAACATTATAACAAAGCTTATGTTACTATTTGGGTGTATTAGCAATTACGGCAATTACGTACAATGGAATTACGTTCCGTAAATCGCCAGAAACAGAAATAGATATACACATAACGAAATTAGTTTTTGCGTTTTGTTTTGTCGTTTGTTTCTCAGAAAATTCCAATTGCAATCGCTTTTAAATTGGTTAACATTTTAGAATATAAAAGTGGTATTTAACTTATTCAAAGCTGTACATAATATTGTATTGTCATGGCTACTCTTGATTCTCCGACTCCTCATGTTTCGGTCAATTCTACATCGACTGATTATGTTTCAGTTAATTCCACAACATTTAATACCACATTATATGATTTAAGTGAGTGAGAATTATTTCTATTTTTTCTAATGCGAATTAATTGAATTAATTATATTAATTAATCCAAATTATTCTAAAATCATATTACAATACATAAAAAGCAACCTTTGCAAATCAAAATAAAATTACACTAATTGGACTTTCTATACCAATTGAATTTGCAATATTAATGTACATCTGTCGTCGATGTGCTGATAAAAACAGACAAAACTTTGCTTATTCTTACTACTTATTGTTGGCTTATGACTTCGCGTTTGAAGTTGCCTTTTTCATAAAACATTCACATGTTATTGAAGCGTTGTATTTTCCCAGGTATTCATAGCATTCATAGTATTCATAAATTTATAAGGTTAACAAAACACTTAAGTATTTTAAATCATTTTTAAATCTATTTTTTATTTTATAGTTTGTTTTCTTGGGCCGTTCCAGCATACATTAACCTTATGACTGGTCTAATAATTTTATATAAAAGCTCACCTGATAATTTCTGTATAACGATTTTAAAAAGTTTTATTTGTGTTATAGATATTCGATTATTACAAATATATATGTGTACTAATCGATATCAAGAAGTTATTCTTTGGTTCTCTGGTATTAATTTATTAATTGAGGATATTCCACAATTAGTTATTCAGGTATGTACTTTTGTAAGTAAGAACGGAATTTAAGTGGATTTTAAATTTAACAAGAGAGATAAGTTATTGTTAGAATTAGAATTAGAATTTGTTTGGGGGTATAGTTTTGTACAAAATAATTCTACTATGTATTAAGCTTAAATTTAATTTAGGAATTCAAAATCCACTTAAACTCTGTTCTTATAATAATATATTTTTTTTTCAAATATTAATAAAAAAATTTTTTTTTTTAGATATTATATAAAACAAACACATATGGATTTGATATCATACCATTTATGAGTCTGATATTATGTTCCATTGTTATAGTAATCGGTTCATTATCACACTTATATATAACCATAGGTAAATATAAAACTAAAGAAACTGTTAGTACTGAGGAACATAGGATAGATAGCAAGAAGAAGGATAGTAAGAAAAAAGATAGTAAGAAAAAAGATAGTAAGAAAAAAGATAGTGAGAAAAAAGATAGTGAGAAAAAAGATAGTAAGAAAAAAGATAGTAAGAAAAAAGATAGTAAGAAAAGATATAGTTCCGATACTTTGAACGAATTTGACAAAGAGTGGGGGATGATATAGTACTGGTATTTATAAATAATGCGGGATATTTAATTCGGTGATTTATAAAAAGATTTAACAAAAAATTTCGAATTTATTTCATGATAAGTATTCAAAACAACTTTTTTGTAATTGTCTTTGTGTAAAACAAAGTCAATTGTATTATAGTAATTTATTGTTAGCAAACAAATTAAAATTGCAATGGTAATTTTTAAATTTGAATCTAATTTTAGCTCTTAAATATCTTAAAGTTGATACAAGTTTAGATGAAATTATTTGGTACGTACTTTATTTTATTAATTAAAGAGGCTAGTTGTAAATAGAATAAGCTAACCGAGTTATCATTTCTATGAATAAAGTATTAAGGTGCAAATCTTTTTATTTTAGAGTTACAGTACTCTTATAATGAATTTTAATTAAATCGTTACAAGAAATTGCAGTGAGAAATATCTTGTTCACTAGGAAATCAACATTGAGCTTTTCGAGAACGCCTAAATAGCTTAGATAACTTCAATTATAGTCAATTCAAGGCGTATTATTCCCTAGGTAGAAATGAGATAGCAATTTTGGATGTTTTATATTATTCTTGAAAGAGACAATTCCCAAGGTTAAGTTTTTATTTTTTTTAAGGAACATAGTTTTGCTGATATTATCATTTCTGAACGAAATTTCTAAACGTTAAACAAATATGAATTTTGCTTTTACACAGTTTAATACATTATGATATTAACATGTGTCATTTCATATGAAACGATTAATTTTTCTTCCAATAATGAATTTTATTTAAATTTATTCTTCATAATAAATAAAATTTTGTATTAAAGATAATAAAAATTAAGCTTTTCTATAAATATGGAATACTTCATATTCGTCTACTGAAAAATATGATTCACCAAGGGTATTAAAGCTTAAAGAAGGTCTAATTGGTTTCTCATATGTGTATCTACGACAATAATTTCGATTTTCAGTAAAATTACTAAGCATGTTAAGATCAGAAAAATATGGTCCAAACTCTTGATAGAAACAGAATGCATATTCAGGAAATTTTACACGGCTCAAAATAGAATTTTGTATAGCACCATTTTTCAACGAAAACATAAAGCTTTCATTGCATCTCACAAAAATAAGATTTGTTGATTTCCTCCATTCAAGAGGATTATAGCCACAAAGAATTTCATCAGTTCCTTTAACTTTTATAACTACAACTGTATTTGCTTGCCCATCACATAAATTCCAAAATATCTCAGGAGTAAAACCATCTCTACTTCCACGAAGAAGTAATTTAAATTCATAAGGGTTATTCATTGCAGAATAAGTATCAGTTTTTTTTTATCAACCCATGAAGTAATTTCTGCTGCATGTGCTTCGTTAATGACTCTTGAAAATGGTGAAATGGTTCAGTTATTCTATCCGGTAATGCTTTTATTAACATTTTATGGGGCGGATGAATTATTGATGATATTGGTTGATTTGAATTAGCAAGTCTTCTTAATATATCATTCCAAAGGTTTTTTTCGAGGATTTGTTGATATGTACTGTACATTATCAATAATGTCATCGCTAGATATTTGAAAATAACGGATGCGGTAAACAATTTTTTAAAGTAGTCTTTAATGCTTGAAAATTTTCATTAGACCAATTTACCGAATTAGTTGATAGGTCAGAATTTTGAGCAATTCCCCAATTAATAACATAATTCCAAATTTTCCCTTCATCCATTTGTAAATCATTACATTTAATAAGTGAGATTAAAGCATTTTCTTGAAGAGAGATCAAATATTCAGAGTTAAAAACTATATCAGGATACTTTGCTACAATATTATTACACCAATTATGTAATTCTTGAAGTTTATCATTTTGAATACTTGCTTTATAAACATGAGCAAATCGTAAACGAAGCCAAGAAGCTTTTGTTTCAATTAAATGGGATTCAAAATATTTAGCCAACTCTTCAAGAAGAAAATCGTAAGCAATAAGCATTAATTCAAAGATAAATGATGTTTCAAGCTTTTCTAATGAAATCACTCCTCCATAAATATACCTTTATAAAAATTTATGTTAATAATCTTTTTTAAAAAAAAATCGTATATAAGCATATTCTTTTAACTTACTTGATAATTATTTCAAATTGTTGAATTGAAACATGTTTTAAATTAATTGATTTAATATTATTCGAATCTATTATTTTTTGCTAATTCATTACGGAAATATAAAGATCTACTTTTAAAATAGTTGAGTGTGCCTGGAATATCTTTGTATTAGGCGAATCACCAATGTTGATGATTACGTTAAATTCTTCTTTATCATTAAGAAGTTCAAGATAATTATTTAAAGATTTTCAAAGAATTTTACTTCCATTTTATATCAAAACGAAGTACTACAGTACATACATAACATATAAGTACGTACGTACGTACGACGCATAACGATAAAGGGTAAAAAATCTGCCTCCATTAAAAATGGTTACACTGCAAGTCGTACTAAGTTTTCATGGCATAATTATTCCCATGGATGAAAGTAGCGAATTTGAATTGTATTTAGAATTTGCTGAAAGTGGAGATCCATCTACACAAAATAGCTTCGGATTGTGCTACGAAAATAGCATAGGCACGGCTAAGGATGGAAAAAAGGCATTTGAGTGGTATTTGAAATCTGCTGAAGGTGGTAATTCGAATGGACAAAATAACCATGGATGGTGCTATCAAAATGGCATAGGCACACCAAGGATGCAAGAAAGGGCATTTGAGCGGTATTTGAAATCTTCTGAAGGTGGTAATTCGAATGGACAAAATAACCTTGGATTATGCTATGACAATGGCATAAGCAAAGCCAAGGATGAAAAAAAGACATTTGAGTGGTATTTGAAATCTGCTGAAAGTGATAATTCCACAGGACAACTTAATCTTGCAATGTATCTGGAAGGCATAAATACGAAAAAAAGGCGTTTGAATGGCTTTTAAAGTCTGCTGAGAGCGGTGATTCTGGTGGTCAATATGAACTTGGATTATGTTTTCGAAACGGTATCGGAACATCACCTGATCAAGAAAAGGCTATTGAATGGCTCGAAAAGCCAGAATTAATTCACAAAAAGCAACTAGCTGTTATTGATGATTTTCTAAAAAAATCATTATTAGAAAATAATTTAATATCATATGGATTCCATTTAATGAATTAAATTTTACAGAAGAAATTGGAAAGGGTGGGTTTGCAACAGTTTATTGTGCTATATGGACACACACAATCACAGGCGGTATTTTTGACGAACCTGTTGCACTTAAATCATTTCATGGAAAAAATGATAGTTGTCGGGAACTTATAAAAGAGAGATATATATATTTGATAGTTTAATGTTTCGTTAAATTAAAAAATCCAACATTATTACAATGTCGTGGGTATCAAGGTACAAGAGATTATATTTTAGTCATGCAATATACACACACATGGGATCTCTACGTAAGAACCTTTATGCTATTGCACAAATGGAATGGGCAAAAAATTAGAACTGATATCTTATATTGCATCTGATCCTCAGTTAATTCACTCGTATAATATTATTCATCGAGATTTACATAGTTCGCATAATGCGTATATTGGAGATTTAGGATTTGCAACGGCAATAGATAAAACATTGGACACAGAATACGTATAAAGGAATTTACGGAGCTTTACCTTACATTACACCTGAAATTTTACAAGGAAAACCGTTTACCAAAGCATTAGACATTTATTTTTTTTGGAATAATTATGTGGGAAATTTCTTCAGGAAATATTAATATGAAGGTAATGATCTAAGCTTTTCTATAGAAATTTATAGAGGATTAAGACCTCATATTCTTTTTTTTTTTTTTTTTTATTAACACCTGCCGGCATGATCGCCGCAGGACGCCGCGCCGCGTGGCGTACAATTTATTTATTAACTAATGGGGCCTTCTGACTTTGTAAGATCCCCTACATTTAACGTTAAGAATTTACATGAGTTATTCTACTATTTTATTGTATTACGAGGCTTTGGCCAAATTGTTTGCAACCGGATTTTCACCAATTTTTTCGACTGGAATTTCACCAGAGGTATCCTTTTCTGGAGTGTCCTTGATTTCAACCGGAATTTCACCGGAAGTATTCCTGACGCGCATCCCGTAGGAGGTTTTTTTTGTGGTTAATCCTTAATCGTGATCCTAGCATGGTTTTTTTTTGCCCTCCAGTTGACTCGAACAGGGAGCGTAACCACTACGCTATCGACCCACGGGTCAGACCTCATATTCTTAAAGGTACATGTTTCGCAGAACTTTCAAAGAAGTGCTGGGATAAGAATCCAGATGAACGCCCATCAGCATTAGAAATTTATGAAACGATTGCAAAATGGAAGAATGATTTTAAAATTTTATCAGAATTATAAACTCTGATAAAGAAATGGTAATAGAAAATAATCACTCTAGCGTCAGTAATGATAATAATTCTATTTATAATAGCAAACTTATTAGTTTTATCAATCAACAATTACATGAATGTGTAATATCAGATGATAATATTGATGCTGAAAATATAAAAATGGAAGTAATTGACACCATCACGAAATTAAAAAAAGATATTAAATCTAGATGATTAACCTGGGGTTAATCATTAAAAAAAGCAATGAAAATTGGAGGCTTCGTTGAATATTGCAATGTTTAATATATTGGAATATAATGTACAACATGTTATTTAATTAAGTTGTTAAACATCTAGTTGTATATTATAATGATTATTCTTAAAGGTACGATATTTATTTTTTAAAATTAAACAACGAGTTAATCATTGATTTTAAAATTTCGTGATGACTACGAAAAATATAAAAATGAATATTGATTCTAAAAAGAGTAAAAATGGTATTGATTCTAAAAAGAGTAAAAATGGTAAAAAGAGAAAAATGAATATTTATTCGATAGCGGTGATATAAAAGGTTATAAATAATAACAAGAAATATATTAATTAATTAACAATACAAACATTTATTTATTTGTCTCATATTATCATAAATAAATAGTCAAATTTATAAAAATCACTTCATAATTAGTTTATGTATAAATTTAAAAATTATAAGGTTAATATTCAATAGAGTAATATAGCAATAGAACAGTAAGCAAAATTTACAATAGAACAATAAAATGCCAATACTGATAATAATAGTATAGTGCATTATAAATTCTCAACTCATTGGTTTTTTTTTGCCAAACAATACATGATTACATACTTGCTTAGAACACATCACCTTAATAATTCTTGTTACTTTATTTACCGTTTTTCGTTGTAAATGTAATCAAGATATGTGTAAATTTGATCGTTCTAGTTGCTATGGTTATTAATCCATATGTCTTTACGAATAAAGGATCTTAACAAAAGGAGATGGTGTGTTCCAAAACTAATCATAATCAGATTCTTCAGGGGCTGGATAAATTGTTTTTTTTTTTATCCGGTAACTGGCTGAGATAAAACAGTCATTAAAGAACGTTTATCCTATATCTAAATCAGATTAGTGTCAAATTTACTAAAATGAAATATATAATAAAATTTTTTTTTATTAGATCAACGTTTTGATTGCAACGGTGAGAAAATGTTATCATTATGCTACATCAGATCTTGTAACGTAATTATCTAGATTCATGCGATCACTATTCTACATATGTACGTACGTACTATGTAACAGAAAAAAGTCCGGTATGAATTAGTTGATTGATACGTGTTAGTATCCTAGCGTTCATAGGAAGACTTTCGTTTGATTGGTTAATTTTTGTAGATCTACCCGTGATTTCCCGTGATAATTAACCAATCAAA